GGCGAGATGACAGGCCTTAGCTTGGGAATCCCATCCATTCGCACCCGCCACGATAAAAAATTGTGTCTTATACACCTGCTAGGAGGTCTTCCCATCATATGTCGATAGCTTCAGAGAGGGACGAGCAGGCATGGGTAGAAATTTTAAACCATCCGAAGTGCTCCCTGCCGTCGCTACGAATTTCTTTAAATTATCAACTTCTCTGGCAACTGCAGAAACTCTGACATCAATCTGTTGTTGAATGGCAGAAACTCTTCCTTCTATCCGTTGCTCCACAGCGGAAACTCTTTCTTCTATTTGATCGTTCACTGAAGAAACTCTATAATCGATTTGTTGTTCTACGGTCGAAACTTTCTGTTCTATTTGTTGTTTGACAGAAGAAACGTTTTCTTCAATTTGCCCAACTCTGTTTTCAACCGCGTCTATTCTGCCTTCCATAGCCTCAAATTTATTTTTTATTATGCAGGTTATTTCCCTTTTCATCTTTTCGCGTCCTGCTTCAATCTTTTCTTGATCTGCATCAATCTTTTCTTGACCTGCTTCAATCTTTTTCTGACCAGATTTCATCTCCTCTTTAATTTCTTCTTTAAAATATGTTTGTCCAGCTTCCATCATTTCTTGGAACGCAGCAAAAGCACTGATGAGCTGCTTCAATTGTTTTTCCATCGCTCCTGTTATTGGCATTCAAACCCCACTCCTGACACCAAAAATTGTTGCGTGCGTACGGGTTCGTTACGAAATGAATGCACAAGTCCGATGAAAAATGAAGAAAATTTATTATTATCACAACAAAAATGCTTAATTTTCGGTGCTACTTTGGTAGACGGTTGCACGGATTTTGGCGATTTTTTGGCGAGTAATACAACTTATGGTAAACCCATTGCTGGATAAGTTATTTATGGTAACCAATACTTTGTTGTCATTTTATTTAAAAAATAATGCGTTTTATTATGCATAACTTCCGTGTTGTAAACATTATTTATGGCTTCTAAATATTAAAAATCAATTTAATTTTACATTTTTATTTGAAATAAAAATTTTGTTGTTTTTAATATTTTATATAATTTTATGTTGTTGATGATGCAATCAATGACGTCACTTTACTTAAAAAGTAATTGGTTTTATTAATATCTATAAATTTAATCTAATGTTTTTAAACATTATTTATGGCTGTTAAACTATTAAAATACAATTTAATTTTGCATTTGTTTTAAAAATGATTATATTATGAATGATTATTTAAATAATTTTAATTCTATGCGTGATGTAATCAGCTCCCTGATTGGTTACCGAATATTTGTGCATTACCGCCCCATTTTAAAATTTTATTATTCATTTCTTCGAATTCGTCAGATTTGAAATGGAATGGATATCTCTGTTTCGAAGATGAATGTTGTTTATTGGTATTACCAAGAATTATTGGTTTTGGATAAAAAAATTGCCCTTTGAGACCTTATTTTGGCCCAAACCTGTCTTTCCTAATCAAAGATTTATTTATAAATTGTGAATAGCGTCAGAGGAAAATTACTTTTAAATTTTTGGAGGAAACCTCGCTAATTGCTTCTTCCAATGAAGTGCGAGATATGTGGATAACAGATGAAGATGGTTAAAAGAGCCGAATCAATTATGATTTCGATTTTTTTGTAGTACTTAACAATAAACAAGAGGTTAAACTACTTAAAAAAATTGTAAGTACATATTTTTCTTTTCTTTTAGAATTGTATACTTCAATTTTTGTTAAAAAAATTAATACATTATTTCAAAAATTGCTGAGATAATTATTGTCACATATGTTTTAATGTTAATTATATTTTATATAACGTATTTTAAAGTATTTGAATTTAATAATATTCTAATTCTTTTAAATGTTGGTAGGATGATTTTTAAATTCGATTTCAGTAATATTTTAATCTAATTAAGCGTTTGCACAATGTTTTTATTCTCTTTTTTGCTATATGAAAGTAATAATAGCCTTACTTTAGTATTTCATACTCATAGTAAATGTATTTATTTACACTTGCCTGCCATCTTAAAAAACGACATTTTCAACAAAAAATTAATCCATTACTTTTAACGATATTTATTTTTTTTTAAGTTTCGAATACTTTACTATGCGTAAAAGCAGCGTTTTTCAAGATGGCTGACGATTGTAAAAATCGCTCTAACAATTGCACCAACGTAAATCGCCAAAAATTCGTACAACCGTCTACCAAAGTAGCACCTAATTTTCCTCTGGTATTCTTTCAGTATAATAATATCTCACAGTAGTTAACTTTTAACTACTTAAATGTTCAAGAGAACGTAATTCAAAACAGCTAAAGAAACTAATCCGCGAATTCGCTACTGTGAACAAGAGCAGTTTTCTAAGCAAACTCTTAAAAACAACAACAAACTAACTAATCAAAAATCACACCAAACTGAGAGCTTTTCCTCCTTTTATATGATTATAAATCGCGCGCTAGAAATTTCTGGAATTTTCTCGAAAGCAAAAAGATATATATATTTATTAAATGTTAGATGCACGTGCTCTTGTATTTTTAATTTTCCGACTTAGCTTTCCTTATATTCGTCACGCGCTGCACTGCACGGGGAATAAACCAATTTAATTTTATAATTCAACTAACATTAGCTATTTAAATTCCAAATCCGTAACAATATTTAAAAGAGCATATCTTTAGAATTTCCGATACACAGTCTCGTGCGCTGGAGATAAAAATGTTTTTTTTTCTTTTCTCCCTACAGAGTTGAAATCGTTGAGTTTCTTGATCAAAAATTCAGATGTGCTTTATGAAATAGGAAACAGATAATAAAACAAATTCCAAATTCCTAATTTGGGCTTCCAGATACCCATATTCGGGTAGAGACGTACGCTTTTCAAAATTTGGTGGCTCTAGGTACCTTTGTTTTATCACAATGCGAGAAACATACATATATTTATGCAGATTCTTCACTATTTAATTTCTGCAAATATAATACAGGGCTCTAATATTTGGTGGCAAAAATTTAAAAAATGATTTGCCGTTTAAATTGAATAAACGCAAAACGCCAAAAGGAAATTAGTAGCCTTTGGTGCCAAATTGCCACTTTGAGTTAATAAGGTTTTGAAAAATAAATTATTCATTATTGTATGATTACTCCCCCCACCCGGGGTCGACGTAGAGAACTCTGCGAAGCTACTGGCTAAGATCTGTATCTAGGCAGTCTCGAACACCGGAGTATAAAATTTATGAACTTGGTGCTTCCGAAGCCCTGGGAAAGATCGCTTGTTGGCCGGCCTCAGGATCTGGTCCTGAGCGGTACGGCTCTAGTAGTCAGAGGGTAGCGCCCCCTGGTTCGCTGGGTAATATCCCACTGCGACGGGCAGCCCGAGCGACTTGCTGGTAGCAAATCTAACGACCAGTGTTGCCTGAAAACATCCCAGTTGGTGCAACAGCCCCTCTAAGCAGCCAGAGCGGAGGTCGAACCTCCGCGCTTGGTCCTGAGGGGGGAGTTGGATCTGTAGTACGGACCATAAAGGGTCATGTGAAGCAGAGCATGCCAGTATTGTTGTTGTATGATCACTTTAAAGGCGAAGTCAGGGTTTTCAGCGCCCGTGAGAACTAAGATTTCATGTTCTCTCCTGTTAGCCAATATGAAATAGGAAAAGAAAAGAAAATTGTATGGATGCTGCATATGGATACAGATGTGCCTAGTTACTACCCTGATTACTTTCATTTTCCCTTATTTCGATCTTCACAAATTTTTCAAAGCATATTAATCATTATTTGACTAATTAATGTTGAAAATTATATCCAAGTCTTTGTGTTTAAAATGCAATAAACCTTATCGTGACGACCATATGTCTGAAATAAGAACTTCTGAAAGCTCAGTATTTCTGAAATATAAACAAGCATTAGTTACAAATTTCACTCCTTTAAGAAGACAATGTCTCAAAGATGACCATCATCGCTATCCAAGGACGATCGTCTTGAAGGGAATATTTTTTTATATCTTCAGTAAAAATTACGGCACACCACTGATTAATATAGTTAGATTTTTCTTGAAATCCAACTAAAAGTATTTGAAATTAGCAAATTTTCCTGAAGAATACAGAATGAAATGAGAATTATGTAAATGCTGTAATTTTCAAACAGATTCTCCAACATAAAATTTAGGATAATGTTTGAAATTTGTGTAATATTTTCATAGTATTTGAAGATCGAATTTCAAACAGCTTATTTGTGACTTGAAAGTAAGGTGAAATCTACTTCCTACAATATAACTTCTCAGAAAACTCTTGCACATGATAACACTAGAAAAACTTAATTTTCAAATAACTTAAATGTTTTGTCGAATTAATTCATTTGGAAATTGAATATATTTTTGTTGCAACTAACAAGGTCTACAACTAAATTTATATCTGTTATGTGAATAGACTATTCAAATTCATCAAATGAATTCTCACAGTTTGTTGTTAAAAAAATGTAGAAAGTAAGAGAATTTCTGGCATTTTCTTTTAAGTTATTTATATTATCGAACTAATAATAAAGAACTAGAATCTAATTGGAAGAAAATAAACTCACCAGAATAAAAGTTTTAGTTACGCAAGAAAACTTTTTCATTTAAAAAAACTTATTCAAAAGCTTAGCCAAGTTTGTCAAGTTGAACATTTGCCAAACTTCAAATCCAGATGCTCCCATCAGATGTGAAGAAAGCGAAAGCGCTGCTTTCGGAAGCTTCAAACTATATGACGATCTTCGACGAAACTTCAAATAACCGGAAGTTACTCTTAATCGATTAAGTGAAGACAAACCAATGTTTGAGATACCAGAAAATAATAAAACATAAACATGAAAACAAATTTGTATTTGTGAAATTCTTATATTTCGTAGGAGTTGTTAAGATTTAACAATTGAATTCCCAAAATGTGAAAACGTTTGAAACCAACATCTCAAAAACTCGTTAAGGCCTTCGATCTTTGACTTACATATCTGGCATTTATAAAGGCCTAAACGCGTCATTTTGTGTCGCTTATTTTAATGTATAGTGTGGAAGTGTGTCAAACATTAAAAAAAAAATGAAAATGTTTAATGAAAAATTAGAGCTGTAGAATAATTATAACAATATTTTGCATTATACGCCTTAGGAAACTTTTTTATTAATAGGGCACGGGTGATCGGAGTCAAGATGGAGGTTTGTTGAAGTATGTCAAGATAATTTTTCGTAGTTGAAACTTTGAAATATTTTTATCTTGATTTTATTTCAGTCCTTAACAAGGCTGTTGAGCAGTGACATGATTAATAATGGAAATATCGTATATATGTGAAATATAATTATTTCTACAGGTTTTGTATATTTTGAGTTTGGTTTCTCTTTCTAAATAGTCTTCCGGTTGGAAGTAGACAAGTTTTGATATTTCACGGTGCGCTTCCATGCAGTTTTCTCCCGGTAAAAATATAATAATTAATTTGTTGAAGTAGTGTAATTTTATTACTTTTCAAGAAAAACAATCTGTAGTGCTGTCAGATTAATCTTTTGATAAAGATATTACATACGAATTTCCAGTTTGAATGAAACTCTTGTGCAGCTCTTCCAAGTAAGTATATTCAGCAGAGCTGTATTTTGTCAAAACATAGGCTAGCAAAAAGCAAGCAGTATTATTTTTATGTGATGATTTAATTAGTATAAAAGAAGCGTATACACAATAATCTAATTTTTAAATATAATATAATGACTTGGGATCTGTGTGGAAGTTTATATTGCGGTGTTCAGATTTCATGTTTTAGTGTAATTATATTTTACTTACATTAACACAGTTTCATATAGAAATTGTCGAGTTTATGCAGTGTTTAAACATATTTAAATTGATTGAAACAAAAATGTGTATAAAATTTGACCTCTTAATCAAAAATAACTCTGTGTGGATGTCTTTCAAAATTATTAAAATATGAAAAAATTTTAATAACAGAAATTTAGTTCTAGTTTGTTGTAAAACAGTTTGAATTACATTTCTGCTTATGAACATAAAATAAGCAATATTTGTTAGTACTTTTCTTTTATTTAACAATTTTCTGCAGCACTATAGTAAAATTTTATTATTATTTGCTATAGTTAACAGTGTTTAGTGCAGAAATCAGACTTTATTGCTATTTAAAGACATACAAACCATTCTATAACCAAATGTTTGTATTTTTATCTTGTTAACATAATTGTTTGCATTTTGTCCTCAATGAATCATCTGTCATTTAAATTGTAGTTTTTTTTTTTTTTTTTTTTTTTTTTTTTTTTTTTTTTTGTGTGCCTAGTGAAATGTCACATTTTCCTGCTTTGTTCTTGATGTTTATAAGTCTAAAATCACTTTGTTAATACCAGTGCTTCAAAAAAGAAGTATGCAAAAATAGAAAGAAGTTTCAGCATATTTAGTTGTATTTTAATGGGATTTAAATGTTGTATAATGTAAATATTATAATTTTAGTAAAATATTGAAATAATTATGGCACTCCAGAGTTCGTTTATTGCTGTGCAAGCTTTGTATTTTTAAATCAAAGTTCTGCATAGCACTTATTTTCAAATGCATTTTTGATAATTCAGTTTACTTTTATTTAAATATGTTACAGCTGATCAAAGTATTAGATATTAACTTGTAGACTTTTCTATTAAAATGATTTTTCTTTAACGATTATAATTTAGTAAGTTCTTTCAAAATGATATTTATGCAACTAAGCTTGTTATTGCCCAATCTGTCGCAATCAGATTTCAAATGTGGTGAGAGACTTATGTAGTGCCCACTTTAACAAGAAAGTAGAAGTACTAAACTTATAGCCATGTATAAATTTAATTAAAATGAATAGAGAATGTTCATCATTGAAGTAATGATAGATAGGATTGATTGAACTGTATATCCTTTTTAGACCTATGTTTAAAGGGTTTTATATGTGTGAATGTGACATAGAATGTTAGCTTATTAAATTAAAAATAGTTTTTATTGGAAATGATTTCTCGAGTAAACACTGTGTAATTAAGTGCTCATAATAGAAAAAAGAGGGAGGATTATTTAAAAAAATAATGCATTTAATATCATTCTTCTGTGTCTAATACATGAAGTTAGTTTTAAAAAAATGCATTGGTAGAATTATAATAACAATCAGTGAAGTAATGTTATTATTGATCTGGTTGAGGTTACAAACTGTAGTAATTATGCCAGGAGATAAAAATAAATTATATTTTATGTATTTGTAAAATATATTTATGATAGTCTGCAAAAATAGAAATGTTATCGGGACTGGATTCAGAAATTTGTATGCATATATAGATACATATACATGCTTATGCACACATGTGTACATACATACATTTCTGAATCGAGTCCCAATAACAGAAGAGTACCATATTTATTTCAAAACTTATAAAAGCAAAACTGAAATTAAATTTTAAAAATGGAAGATAAAAAGAGATATGAAGAATTTTATGTTTAGTATCTGATTTTGCACATGCAGAGTGCCAGTGAGTTTAATAAAATATAAAGATAATTATAATATTCAGGAAGTTGTGTTAAAATATTTTTCATACTTATTTGTTAAGTATTCTGTTTATTTGTGTCATTTTGGAAGATTTTTTTTATATTTATAAGCTCATTCTAGCATATGTATACTTGATCTTTCCAATAAGGATTTATATTTTTTTTAATTTCCAAGAAAGAAAAGTAATCATTTTTTGTAATCATGTTTGCTGTGTAGTTTCTTGGTGTTAATACCAGCATTATAATTACAATTGCATGTTTAATAGGACTAGGTCTAAAAAAAATTAAGTTTGTTTATTGCATGTGGAGAAATTTTTATAATAAATCATGAGAATGAAGCAAAATTTTATGAGAAAAGCAGAAAGGAAAAGATAATATATGGATTAATGGGGACATTTTTTTCCTTAGTCACGGACAAAACAAATGCGGACTTGTTTTCCTTTCCAGAATGCATTTCCATTTGTCCTTCCACATTCAACAATGCATTAGCAGTACGTTAATTTTTGGGCTTATCTTTAGAATATGGTAACTGGTAGTTTGGCGACATTTTGGAAGCGATAAAGGTTACTACCTGGGACTTTGGTAATAATGTGAGCAGTACTCAGTTCCGATTACGCATTATTTTGTGTGAGGGAAATGAGAGATCATGGGATATTAATGGACGAATTACGGTTCTTTAATCGGAAAAGGGGGGAATTTGGAAAAATACTTCATTGTGTGTTGTGTGAAGTAGGGTTGAATAATTTTGGGATTGTATGGCGCTGTCTAAAGTGAAAAATCGTATGAATGTTTGGAAGATGAAGGTTTTAAACATCTTGCTGTGAACCACAAATAATTATTTTAAAGATCCGGAAACAGGTGCACATACCAATACATTCAGAGGGCACGTGGAGTGCTATAAAAAGCGCCATTCCGAGGCATTGTGATAAAGAGAATTTTGCTTTTATTTAGCGGAGGAAGTGTGGAGGAAAAATTCGCAGAAAAAATCGTTTCAATAATCTTATTGAATACCATAATAAAAGTGTATCCACCATGTAAGCAAGATTCTGAAGAAGATTAGGTAAGTTAGTATTTTAATTATTTGAGGATATTATTTTTATGCATTGTTCTAAATGTAAGGTGGAAGTAAAGTAATTTGGTATTATTGGGAAAATTGTTATTAGCAATGATTTAGTTTAAAGTAATTAGGATTGTAAGCTAATTTTTATTAATTTAATGTATGTGCTTATTTATATCTTAAGTAGTGCTTTTGAATTTAATTATATTTTAATTAAATGATAGTTATTTTGTGAATTTTCTGTTTGTAGGAATTTGGTATACGTTTTAGTTGAAGTAAACGTGCATGGAAATAATTTAAATATTTGACACTAAGTATTTGTCATGCTTGCGGTATGAATTCGTTGGTGATGTTTATAATATAATAGATGATTTAGAGGTAAAAGTTTTTGGATATTTTTTTTTATTTTATATGTGGAAATGTTCATATTTGGAAAGGGTATATACTTTTTCGCGATCAGGTAATTTCATATATGTTCTTTTTACCGGGTTTAAAGATTCAGAAAATTGTCATGTATTTTCATGAAATTTTTCTAATTTATGAGAAAAAAGCAGTGTACATAGATATAGTGAAGAGTGTGCGCAATGCCATTTTTGTGTAATTCTGGGATGTTTTTTTAAGTAAAAATAAGTCGACGTGTACATGGTTTATGTGTATGTGTTATTTTGAAAAACGCGTAAGGAGTATGGTATTGTGCACTTTTCCCAATTTTGCAGTGAATATTTGTCATGATTAAGCAGTTTTGTTAGATAAAATTTCTAGCATAAGTGTGATTCAGCTAGTAGATTGTTGGAAGAAGTGTTCAGTAGATAAAAAGAAAAGAAACATGTCTTTACTAAGTGAAGACAAAATGACGGCGGGAAAAAAAAAAAATAGAGGGTTGCTGTAGGAGAGTTGGTGGCCAAATTTTCGCCAAAAAATTGCCAAGTTACCATAATCTAAAGATCAACCAATTTTTGCTTCTGCACTCTTGAGCACAATTGCCATTTTTATGCTTAAGTTTCCATTTTCAGAAAATATATTTTAAGTACCTAGTAAATTAATCTGTCATTAAGTAGAAGTGCAGCCATGTAATAATATCTTTGGAAACTCTGTTTAATATTTAGCAGCTGTAAAATACATTTTCAGTTCTGAATCCTTTTGTTAAATTAAAGATGTTGCAAAATATAAAATATTAAAACTATCATTTAGGCTTTCTGACATCTTTTGGGCCCTTCCAGTGGCCAAGTGCTTAAGACTGCTGTAATTACTGGCAATTCGACCTGGCTTGGGTTAAGGCAGGTTGTTGTTTACCCTATGTGAAACAGGAATGTAAGCCAATTTCCCTCAGAAAGTCCTCCACAAAGGCATCTTTTTGCTTAGGCAGATAGTCATCATGGCTTTTGTGTGTTCAAATAACCTAAGTTAAAATCTTAAATAAATATGTTTTAAGTTATATTGATTTTCCAACAGAAATAGAAGTTTGCATTTTGTAGTCATTTATGTTGTCTTTATATATGTATGTATGGAGTTATGTTGTCTTTTAATATATATATGTACATACACAGCACAAAGTCCGTAATCCGGACTCGTCAGGGCTTCGGCGATTCCAGATTATAGATCATCAATTTAAATCTGATAAGATGGCATGCAGAAATTATACAATTAAAAATATGAAACTGTAATTTATGAAATGGAGAACAATTATGATCTAAAGGGTATCAAGACAAAAAAAAAAAGCTTAATATTTATTTTTTTACTTTATAAAACATTTCTTTCAATGTTTTTTTTTTTTTTTTTTTTTTTTTGTGTGTGTGTGTGTGTGTGTGTGTGTGTGTGTGCGCTAAACGCTCATGTGTAACATTAATTGAGCTTACAAAAAAAAAAAAGGTTTGTGGCTTTGAGGTCCGGATTAGAGACTTTGTACTGTATATATATATCTCATCCATTTCTGACACATCTGCATTAAAAAAATTTTTTTTTATTTCATTTTTTAGGGCCTTTGATTACCATGTGATAATCAAGGTTGTTGGTTTTGGGCTCGAATCTCGAGCAAGAGTCAAATCTCAATTCGCTCTGGCATCGTTTCGATGCTAGCTGAGCGTCCGAGTGGCTTCCATCCTGTGCTGCGGCTGGGACACCCACCTGCCATTCCAGCAGGCGGTGAGGATCCTGAGGACGAACCACCCCCACCCCCTCAGAGGACAGTATCCTCCCCTACTGGTGTGTCCTCTCCCACTTCTGCACCTCCTCCTGCACCTGTTCGTAGGCTCCTCTGTTTACAGTCGCGCTCTAGTCTTACGGTTTCCAGAACAGAATATGTACTTAACGCTTCAGAACCTTTGCTTATAAAATGGGATATCAAAGAAGAGGTGTCTCCATCTGATTGGATTGGCCTTTATAAAACAGGTAATTTCCACCCCCTGATCTTAAAATTTATCATGAAGTTTAGATTGCAATTTTTTGTTTTAAATTACATTGATATATCATGCATTTTAGAAAATTACAGTAAGCCCTGTCATTGCAACCACCTCTGAAAGGGATTATTATTTTTAAAAATATATGTGTATATCAGTATTGATAATAATAATACTATTTGTTGTTTTCTGATTATTCATACCTCCACCGAAAAGTCACGGACAAGTGTTAATGAAGTAGTGCATCATATCTCCAAAAAATATTTATGTGGCAACCAATGATACTGCCAATAATTATTTATGTGGCAACCTAGGTGTGTGCATAACGTGTCAACAAATAGCTTTCTTCTTCTCTGGCCATTTTTGCTAGTTTGACTGCAGTATGATAATCGTGTAATGCCATTTGAACCAAGAAAGGGCTGTGGTTATGAGCATATGAATATAGCATAATTCTGTAGAACATGCCGATGAACTAAGGCGAATGTAAAAAAATTCTTTAATGGGTGTAGTTTAATACAAGAAGCATAGAGTAATGTAAGTGAGAATGTGGTCATTTTTTAAAGGTTGTAGTAATTGACAGTTGCATAAAAATGCAAATAATAAATTTCAATTTTGAAAGTTGGAGCTGACTGATTGGAAACCATTTTTGAAGCAGCATGTTGATAGCCTCTATTTTAAACAAATGGGAGAAACTGTGATGAGGGGAAAAAATCTCTATCAGGAAAGATCAGGACAGCATGTGATCATGCATTATCTTGTTGAAAGATGGACAGGCCTTGAAGATAGGCACAGCCACGGTCCTTAACAGAAATGTGACGCTAGCTGCTGCATTACTGGGAACAAGAGGTGATTGGGATGACACCACACACCAGTATGCCAGGTGCTGAGCCTGTATGTTAATAACAAAAGCAAAGTGGCGGTGTTCATTCTTTTCATTACCTCCTTACATGGATACATCACCGTAATATTGCGTGCAGAATCGGATTAGTCTGAAAAGGGACTTAATGCCATTTATGTATCCAGTGTCATCATTCGTCACACCAATGTAAATGTGCTTGTCTCTGCTGCAACATCAAGGGAGTCGCAATAATGGTCACCGAGCAGAATGTCCTTGGTGCTGCGTATGTCGTCACATTTATTATCTTGCACTAAAGCCAAGGTCCTTTTCAGGGCACATATCTAGCTGTATGATTCCATAAGGTTGATAGGATAATGTCTGTTCTCTTGGGCGTTTATGACCCGAGGCTGTTGAGATCCTGCATGGTGTTTAGTATGGCCTTTCTGGCATTCACCTGACAGTACTGGATTCTGACCAACATGAGCAGCAATGTCACTAAGCAATAAACTGCAGAATGTCATATTCTGATAGGCTACGATCTTGCTGGAATTGAATTCTGACATATGCTGGTATTTGTGTCTCATTCTTATAAGAGGCATAACATGACCTTAACACAAACAATGTTCCAATTCTATTTCCGAATGAGAAACCCACTATGCAGTCTTCTCATTTATACACAATGTAGATGGTGTTACTCATATCTGCTTTGTGTGCATCCACTGGAATATTAACCGTTTGCATATTCCAGCGTATAGTACTTTTCATACAAATTCGATGTTTGTTGCTTCGAATGCCACTTTCATTGTATAGTAGATTTGTGGCCAGCAATATCCTTTATGAATTTCAAAGTACTACAGAAAAATGAATAATTAACAAAAAAATCAATAGAAGTAGAGGTTTAAGTAATAGTTTAAAGGGCCGCACTTAATTATTTGTATATTTACTTCAAATTTGCACAGGACTGATCATGAATTACAGCATCACTTTGTGAGAGAAAAATAAAAAGTGAGTGGCATTGTCAGAAAGGACCACTATATAACAAGCTTATATGAATATGAATGAAACTATGTTGACTTTCCTATTGAGTAGTATTTATCCATTTAAAATTTATGAAATTGTAATTGTCAATCACCACAACTATTTTTCTGCTGTACAGATGGTCAAAACAACTGTTCATTCTTCTGTCTGCAATACATTAAGGCTTAATTACTTTTCTATGGATAAGCAAAAGAGTTGTTTGAGTTACTGCAGTTTTCAGGCTCTTCGTTTATGCAGCCAAATGACTGACATATGCATTTACATTTTTAATTAGAAATTTAGAAATTAAATTTTGATCAGCCCTTTTTTTATTCATTACATTTTTTCTCAACGCTATTCATATTTTATGGCCAAAGACTGTATGCAGTAAGTTGTTATAGTGTTTTTCACTTCTTTCATTGGTTTCCAAATGATAAAATAGTAAAGCGTTCTTTGCTTGCATACTCATTAAAGAGAATGCTGCATATTGCTGTTATTAAAAATAATTCACTTCTACTCTTAAAACTGGGCACTGAATTAGAAAATATTCTCAAAATTTCTTTCTAATCATAAACTGTCCCCAAATCACTTGAATAATATCTACAAATGGAAAGAATTTTCGCTGACTCAAAATTAATGGATCAAGTAATATATCATCAACTTGAGAAAAAAAAAATAAAAAGGTGGAAACCAATTTTAGAGTTTGTTTTGTATCATTGTGTCTAGCAAAAAGAAATCTTCTTTGAATGGTGATTAAGTGAAGCTAGGAGATCCAATTAATTGGAACTTTGTAAGACTAATTAACTGAATTAATGTCAGATATGATGCCTTTTGATAAACATGTTCAATAAGTAGCAAAACCTGGAAGATGTGTTACATATTGTAGCAAGGAGATTCCAGAAGGAAAAACACATGAAGCATAAAGATTTAAATGAAATTACTGATTTTTAATGAAATTACCTGTGTTATAAAAAATAATGTAGTGTTATGAAAATAGTGTTAAAAACAAATATCATTTAATATTTCTAAATTACATTCCACGGATAATTTGTGAAGGGTGATTTTTAAGAACAATAAATGTGTGTTTAGGTCAGTTACCATTTAGAAATATTTTTTGCATGAAATCTGAAATTGGGTATACTAAATATTTTGGTTATAACAAAGTTTCTTAGAAACCTTTAGGTTTTAACGAACTGCCAACAGCTGTGTAGCAGTATTTCATAACTGTTTTAGTTGATATTATGCAAGTGTCACATTAAAGTTTTTTTAAAATTATGTTTGCATTTTATTTGATTATAGAAAACTACATAATTTTGAAAATTGTTAGCGCGTAAATTTATTACATAAATGCTTATATATTTTTTTGAAATAAAATTATTAAAGGAAATATGTAATAGTCTAAAACTATTGTAAGTATAGTTTTAAAAGGGACTTGTTAGTGCACCCATGTTTCTTGATTTTTGTGAAGCCCTGAAATTACTTAAACTGTCCTAGAGTAGGCAAACTTCTTTGGATAAGCATAGGAGTGAGAGTTTTTTGTAGTTACTAGAGAAAATTTTTATAATATCAGGTTTCTGTAATGTAATTTTGCAATATTCCTACTATCTGTTTTCCATATAAATTTTAAGAAATATTTGTTGCATATAAATTTTAAGAAAATAAAATGGGTTTTAAGAAAATAAAATTTATAGTGTAGTTAGTCTACAATTTGATTACTATATTGATACTAATAAATTGATACCACATTTCTAATTCTGTGATTTTCTGTAACAGATTCTGACAATCATGAGCAGGGTAAAGACAATATGAATATCAATAATTGCCATCACCATAGTCATCATTCCTAAGAGTACACTTCTAAAGAACAAAAAAATTAGGAAAACCATTATGAAAAGCAGTTGCAGTTCAACCAACTGAAACTTTAAGTGGAAAAATTAGTTTTTTTTTTTTTTTTTTTTTTCCCCCAATCCATTATCTTCTAGCGAAGATAGTTAAAATGTTATAATATTAATTTAACATCTACTGAAATAATGAATTATTAGGAGATTATGGATATTTTTTAGCATATTATGTAGAGCACTTTGTAAAGTGTTTTATATATTTTAATGTTTCAGATGAAGTAGATCCAACACGTTATGTAGAATGTAAATATCGGAGACCATCTGCAACTCCAAGAGGGCAGATTCCTTGGACAATTGAGAAAACTGAATTTTTCGTGGAAGGTAAGTGAAATATATTTTCTTTCTATGTAATCAAATTTTGAATTTATGTGTTTTTAAATATGTAGCAAATCTTGTATGTGGTAAATAATATAAGTTTGGAAATCTATAATGAAGCCTATTGTAGTTAAGCATCATTTGATTTTTTTTTTTTTTTTTTTAATTTTCTTATAAGCTAAATGGGTTTTACTAGTTTTGCATATTTATTATTTGGTTTCGGTTTCTCAAAATTAATACTGTCTTTTAAAAATATGTCTCTCAAATATTTCTTCAAATTTTGATGTTCAGAATATTTGAAAAGATAGCCTATTTAAGCTTTTTTTTTTTTTTTTTTTGTGTGTGTGTGTGTGTGTGTGTGTACTTGCATTGATGATTTAGTGGCAGATATTCAGAAAATATACTAAATCCAAAAAGTTTTATGAAATGAGAATTAAATTTACATTTTCCCTTTTGAAGAATTGAATAAGTCTGACATTTAAAAAAAAAAAAAAGAAAGAAAGAAAGAAAAGAAAAAAAGAAAGAAACTATTGAATTCAAAAGCCGAAGATTCAGTAAAACTGTTGGTTTTTATACTATTCATACTAGAACTATCAAGTGAAACTTTTGTGGGGTAACCAATAAAATGTGATAATTATATTTTTATGGAATCGAGAATTTTTCTTAACTATACTTTCTGTCCTTATTAATATTTTGGATGGTTACCTCATATAAAATGTCTAGGAAACATTGTTAAATCGAGCAAAAATAAACAAATTAATTTTGATGGAATTCGGTGCTTATATAGGGTTAAAGTTTTATATCGAACAATAAAAGGCAAATATGTCTCAGCATAAAAAATTCCAATAACATAATTAGATTTTTAAAAAAATTCATACTTTTCAGTTAACATGGCACTAGTTTGTGCCAAAAATAAATGCTGGTGGGAAATCTAACTAGATGACGGCAGCACTTGACAATACATAAAGCTATATGAAAAGAATTACTATTTTATATTTAATATATATTAAGCCAACCAGGAGCTTCTAAAAGAAGCAGTGCAAAAACATATGAAAATTTCATTGAATTACATAAACACAATTTTGTTACATTATTTTTTGCCATCTCTCAGGCAGTGGGAAAAGGTTTTTTCAAAAAACTATTAGAAATTGTTAAAATGTTGTTTGACAGTTTCCAAAGAAATGAGGATCCAATGGAATGAGGAAGATTTTGAAGTGATATGAAGAGAGGAAAATCTAAGGGGGAAAGGTATGGTGAATGTGGATGGTGAGACAAACCATTCCAAGTATACCCATTTCATCTTTGATATTCATCAAAATGGTGGGATCAAGTATTGTTAGGAGGAAAGCCGCCATCTCAAGAGTTGGCCAGTTTTAGGCACTTTCCTTCAATTTCTGCTTTTAAAACTGCCTTCTGGGAACAGTGTTTTCCTGTATTTGTCTGATTTGATGACAGCAATTAATAGTATACAGTACAAAGTCTGAGATCCGGATGTCCAATATCCGGAATGATCTGAAATCCGAACCTCAAAATCGACAACTTTTTTTTAAATGCTTTACGCATGTCCATTTGATTTTTTTCCCTTGTAGATAAAACATGTGGAGAGTCCCAATTCTTAAAATTTCTCTTCGGCACTAAGAAGATTGATTTATTGAAGAAACAATTTAGCATAAATTTGTGTGATCAATAATTTGGCTTCGTAGCTGCTATCTGTTTGGCATCCATAACAAACTGAAACATTCTACGTTGGAACATTGTTGATTGTACACCTGCTAATATTTTATACCCCTGACGGCAACCTGGCGAATCATTATTTATTATATCACCGCATGTTGATCAACACATGACAATTTGAGTAATGACTCATGCAGCGATGCCCAAACAATTTTTTATATGTATGTCATAATAAAAGCACAAAGGAAAAACGGAACACTGTCGATGTGTGCTTATATCCATATTGAAGAAGAATTTTGATTGCGTAGTATTTAAAGAACTTGGCAGTCGAGGCAGTTTTAATTCCATTTTTATTTCCAATTGATATTTGTGGCCACAATCACTTGGCACTCTAGTCGTGCCTTTCCACAGAAGATTTACATTTTTGATATTGTTGAGATAGAAAGCAAGCCAGCGAAATTACATCTTAGCAGAGTAGAGGGCAAAAGCTGAAGTGCGTAGTTATGAAAGATGGAAGCACGCGAAGAGAAAAGTTTTGGTTTACAGTGGCAGTTTCAGTTCTTAATTATTACGTCATCAGAGTTGCGCAGGCCATAGAATGATCTAGAAATGACGCAATGCAGAGAAGTTATTACGATTTTAGAATAGAGAGGAAGAATTAATGTTTATAGTTATATTATAATTCTGATTCATACATTTTTATCTTACATATTTCCCCCCTTCAAAAAAAAAAAAAAAAAAAAAAAGGCGTAGCGACAGAGAAGCCTTTTTAAAGAGAAAGAGTTAAAGCACTAGCAAATGCAAAAGAAAAACATAAATCATAAAATTTTGATTCTATAAAAAATAAAAGTTTAATTTTAAATATCAATTTTTTTTAATAAATTTTTAATTTTTAGAGTCCTATTGAATTTTTCAGCATTTCAGTCCAAAAGTCTTTTTGTTTGAGAGTTCACATAATCATAATTCTTCAGGGAAGTTTTTTGTTATTACAGAATATCAAAAAAAAAAAAGTTTACACAATCATTGCTTATAAATATTTATGATATTAATTTTCATATGATAAATTATAATTTAACATCATAAATAATAGGATTAAGATTTTCAGAATTTATGGTTTCACCTTTATCATCTTTCCATTTACAATTCCTGATTTTACCAAACTGGAAGCCTCGCAATACTTCTAAACAAACATATCCATCAGTAGGGCTGTCCTCTTGAGCTAACCAGTGTGTTCTCTGCACTGGTGGCCCAGGGTGCCTAGGCAGTTACTTGAAAAGGCCTCCGTTCCTTACATTAAGGTAACTGGCCTTTGAGAACTGCACTAATACATTCCATAAAAAAATATAATAATAATAATATAAAAAATTTACATGCATTCATAAAATGAGAGCCTCCAACATTATCTTGCATGAAGAGGGTAAAAGGAACAACTGTACAGAGGTAATTGCAGGCCTCTGTTAAAGGAACCAGTACACCCTCAGCATACTATACTTAACACACAATAACCCATAAATTTTAACATGCATTTACCATAATTTCACTTATTTTTAACATCTTTATTTTTAGAATAATTATAAAATTCGTATTCAAAATTCTCAATAAAATTTCAAAAACATAAAAACTTATCTTAATATCCTTCCCTATGAATAATTTAAATAGCTTAAAATTAATTACTTAATTTGCTCACACATAATTATGAAAAATTAGAAAAATTAATGAACAAGAATTTCAGATTTTCTCAAAACAAATTGCAGAAATTTTAACCAAAATTAAAATGAAAACTATAGAATTCGCAGCATATTAAATAATTTAGTTCCTGAGCTAGATTCACACGAATGTAATAATTTTTTAACTGTTGAAAAAGCGGAAGTGCACATAATTTTCTGTCGCACATACTTGCAAACACTAACTCGGATCGACCTTGAACCCGCTGTAATGCTGAATTCCTAAACGGTAATACACTGATGATTAAAGCACTTTTTTCTAAATATTATAGACATCGGCGAAGCAAATTCAATATTCCTTTTTACTAGGAATTCGAACTTCTCAATTTATCGAGAGATTAGAGATTACTTTCAATCTGTAAACACTACGCGTGATTATTTTTTTGAAGCACTTGCAAAACACCACAGCAGAAGAATGATCTGTTATTTTTTTACACACTGAAAAAATAAACTTGATGATTCACTTCTTTCACATTATCTTGGATTTATCACAAAACGATGATTTGAAGAGCTGAATTAAATTTTCCATTGAGGTTTCAGGCTGCAGGAAACTATCCTTACTGGCTTAATTGTCATAATAAAAGCACAATATTACATATGTATAAGTACATAGAGTGTGGTAACCTTTTATGGTGACATTATTATGCTTGGCAATGATTACAGATTTAAGTGCAATACACTAAGAAATATTGAAGAGGAAAAATTTCTTTCCATATGCTAAAAATAGATTTTGTTAATAATACTCATAGGCCAAAAGATTACCATTTAGTGTATTTGAATGAAGAATAACTGATTCGTTTTTCACATAAACCCAGAACTGGCACCAGGGCTCATATGGGTGCACTGGCGGCAGAATTTAAGAAAGACAAGATTTTGAGAATTTAGAGAAGCACCAAGCAACAAAATTAATGGATGAAAATATTTTTAGAATTTAAGGAAAGCACTGGGATCTAAAATTTAAAGGTGGAAAAAATTTAGAATTTAGGGAGGCGCTTGGTAGCTCTGCAGAGACTGCATCAGGTGGTAAGATATCTAGTGCCGGCCCTTCATAAACCTCAGGATTCAGATAAGCCTTAAGCATGTGCAAGAAATAGATGTAAGTATAATAAATAATTAAACTAATACATTCAGGCTTGATTGTCTCAGGGCGTGATGTAAGACAAAATTTAGCGGAACAACTTGTCTTTTGTGGCAATCTAATGATACATAGCAAATAATGTATAGCCGATCGCAAGCTCATAAGAGGATGTGTCTCCAGATACTTTAAAAAATGCTTGGCATAATTTATGGCCAACTAGCATATTTCATGGTGAAGTTGATGAATATGATAGCCACGAATGTGAAGGTTTTGGGATATTGCAAATCAAAGGTTAAATTTTAAATTGATGGATTTTTTTTAAAGAAATATATAGAAGCTGTAATAAATGAAGATGATATTACAGAAGTTTGCGATGACAATGCCCCAATTATTAATCAGTTAATGGATGGCAAAATATGTAATAGGGTTCTAGATCCAAAAGTACCTCTACCAATAGTGAAAAAAGTGACAGAGAGGTTATTGAAAAGGAAAAATTTAGATTAGAGAAATTAGTCGGAATTCTCGACACA